ACATTTTGAATTTGCTTGTAAGGGCCTCATTTTCCTACAACAGATTAGGTTTGCCCTACTTTTTCTTCAACACATGGCTTGAATTCATAACCTAATCCAATTCAAAAAAACCCTTTTAGACATTAACTCCGGACTCCATTACTCAAGCAAAAATGTCCCCCCGAGCGACATTCAAATATTTTAGAACAAGAATGAATGTTAAACTATGGTAGAATTTTAACTTCAGCTTATAGATAGAGAAAAACTTGTAAAATCAATCAAAAACACATCTTGACATACAAAACCGATGACGGTGTTCAAGTGTACAATCCAAGAGGGGAGGACTCACAAGCACGCCTATAATCTCTCCCGATCACATTTTGCACAGCAAAAGCTGCTGCTCACTTTCAATTTTCAAATAAAATAAAATAATATAAGATTCAAACTTGTCATCTTTTATTACGAAAATACCTGATCGGCCACCCCAAACAAAGTCCGTCCTTCCATGTGCTTCCACATCACGGTAAACCCAGCCCACAATCGACCAAATCTAAGACAATTCCTTCGCGGCAGCTATAACTGCTTCAGCTGTAATCCCAAACTCCTTATATATCTTCCCTGCAGGAGCACTCGCCCCAAACCGGTCAATCCCGATCGCCTTCCCCTTAGCTCCCACAATCTTCTCCCAACCGAAGGTTGACCCCGCCTCAATGCTAACCCTAGCCGTAACCGAAGCAGGCAGCACACTCTCTTTATACTCGTCCGACTGCTCGTCAAAAAGCTCCCAACACACAAACGAGACTACCCTCACACCCTTCCCTTCCTTTCTGAGCTCGTCCGCAGCCTTGACCGCAATCTCCAATTCCGAACCTGTCCCTATCAAAATCACGTCAGGCTTGTTGCCAGACGAGTTATCTGAAACGATATACCCTCCTTTCTCGACCCCTTCAATAGAAGTCCCGGGCAGCTGAGGCAGCTTCTGCCGAGAGAGGGCTAGCACGGAGGGCCGCTTCTTGTTGAGAACTGCCACTTTATAAGCACCGGCAGTTTCATTGCCGTCGGCCGGGCGGAGCATGAGGATATTGGGCATGGCCCGGAAGCTGGCGAGGTGCTCGATGGGCTGGTGGGTGGGCCCGTCTTCTCCGAGCCCAATTGAGTCGTGGGTCATTACGTAGATAACGCCGGCCTCTGAGAGAGCGGA